AGTCTTATGAAAGCTTTACCAGATTTTATTATAATTACCGACAACACTACCTAAAGAATACATTGTAAGAGTGGCAGGACTGTACCACCTATTTCACCTCTTCTACAAAAGGGTTCCCCTTTAAGTAAACACACAGGTATGTCCACAAAGGAATACAGAGGCTGACGTAAAAATATATGTAAACAATCTTTATATTAACCATATTCTTAAAATCACACACTTTATTACATATTCTAAAATATAAACAGTTAAAGAGTACAAAAATAAATGTACTTCAGTCAGGTATTTCAACAAATTCAACAAGATTAACAATCTTATAATCAAGTGACACAGTGTATTCTTAGTTCAAGGGAGAGCAGTAGAGCTGCAGCCCAGTTTACCCCTGTAAGCACTGAAATACTCCATTCTCCACACTCACCCCCACCACACCCCCTCACCCCAAAGGGACTGTGATTTTCTCACGGACATGAACAAAAACACTAATTAAGTCCAAACCACTGACTACTTCTCAGTTTGTTTGGGGAGATAACAAAGTTGTGCATTGCGTGCACATGTTACACACTTAGATTAAAAACACAGTCACCACCACTCTCCACTTTTCTGCTCTTAGTCTTTTTCATAACACTGCAAGACAGCTCATTCAAGTCCAAGGTCCTTTTATAGCCTTGTTGTGAGATAAACCTCTGTATGTGTCATATAGAAAAGATAATGAAACACAGATCCCGAGGTGATGGCCTGACATGTGATGATCAGGTCTGACTATATGCACCAGTCCATTTTTCAGCTGTCAGCAGAACAGCATCAACTGGTGTCTGCAAATAATTCACTGAATTTATGCAGCAAGCATTTACAGTGTGAACCCCAGAGGTAGGAAGTAACAAACACTTTGTTAATGTATTTAATTATTTTTGGTTTTACTTGAGTATTTATTTTTTTGACAACTTTACAACTTTACTTTTACCCCTACATTTGTACACAGATATGTGTATTTTTTCTACTCCGTACATTTTCAAAAACAACCTTGTTACTTTAGTTTTAATGCATTTCAGACAAACTGGAACTAATGATTAAACAGTCAATGAATTTATGAAACAATGAATAATTTCAGTTCTAACTGCATACACTGTTGAGTAGTTCAGTCTATGACAAAGCATCATATTTTACAAGATTGTTGTAGGTTTTTCATGTAAAATTTTAATGTGTAAACTAACTAGTTGCTAAAGCTGTCAAATAAATGGATTAAAAGTAAAAAGTACAATATTTCCCCTAGTGGTGTAGAAGTATAAATACTCCTAGAATGATCAAGTTCCTTAAATTTGTACTTAATTACAGTATAAATGTAGTTATATTGCACCACATTTACAAAGCATTTATTATTAAAGAAGATAAAGGGCTATATTATTATTTCATCAAATTTAGTTTGGCCTCATCTTTCTTTCACAGGTGTTTAACACTTCCTTGGCTGAGCCAGTTCCAGAGGGTTATGAAGATGTGTCTAACATTGTGCCCCCATACAGTGCCTTCTCTGCCAAAGGACAGCCTGAGGTACACTCGTGCACACACACAAGTTTAAATACCTTTAAACAGCTCCATTCCCACCTATCTGATTAAACAAGATGTCTCCTCTTTCTTTCTCTCAAGGGGGATTTGGTGTACGTGAATTATGGTCGTACAGAAGACTTTCTTCAGTTACAGAGGGAGATGAATATCAGTGTCACTGGGAAGATTGTCATTGTCAGATATGGGAAAATATTCAGAGGCAATAAGGTAGGAAACATCCTGGCCACAACTCCACATTGTTAAAGTATTCCTATCAGTCTAGAGTGTTGTCATTAAAAGGCCTACACATGTGATAATGTAATGGATGGTTCCATATCAAAAGTGGCTAAAACAGCCAAAAAACAACATTTAGATGGTTTCAGAAGTGCCTTTTATCTTTTCCTGCTCATTTAGGTATTTGTAGTTCTGTACAGATCAAAGCTCTGTAGTAGTGGTGTATACTTATGAATTCATCACACTGTAACATTTGAAAATATTTTCTCACACATTTCACACACACATAATATTCAATGTTCCATCCATCAATGTTAAATCAATCATCAGTATTTTGTGATCCACACAAACATAAAAAAGCCAACAATAAATCCACTTTGGTATCATCAAAATGACTCATTGCTTGCTGTCTGTCTTGCTCCACCAGGTGAAGAATGCTATGTTAGCCGGAGCAAAGGGGATCATTATGTTCTCAGACCCAGCAGATTACTGGGCTGCTGATGTCCAGGTATAATGCATACTTTTAACCAGAGCATTTTTTTGTATATGCAACAGTCATCGTTAACGTGATGCAGTAGAATAGATGCAGTAGTTTTGGACAATATCTCTATAGATTCAAATAACTGTGTATGTGTGTGTGCAGCCTTACCCTGATGGCTGGAACCTACCCGGTGGAGGAGCTCAAAGAGGAAATGTCCTCAACCTGAATGGAGCAGGAGATCCTCTCACACCAGGGTACCCCGCTAAAGGTGTGTATGTCCATGTGCTTGTACACATGAGTGTATACATGTGTTTATCTAACATAGTCCTTTCTCCTTTTTTTTTTACTACAGAATATACCTACAGATTCAGCCTTGAGGATGGAGTAGGACTTCCCAAGATACCTGTGCATCCAATTGGCTTCCATGATGCAGTAAACCTGCTGAAGTAAGTCTTTATTTCTTTTCTTTTGCCCACTTTTTCATTCATTCACAGTAGTGCTATTTTAACATAAGTTTAGGTCTACAGCCTCACTAGCTTCAACATGTACACAATGACAATGTTAACATGCTGATGATTATGTAGCGTTAACCTTAGTTTAGCACACAAAGTACAGCTGTGTCAGGTTTGACTGTGGAACAAAAAGTTATTACAATTCAACACATCGGGAAATGGTCATCTTTTCCATATTTATTGAGATATTTCAGTGTGGACCAAAGTGGCGAACTGACTGACAGACTGACATTGCCATTGACATTGAGCAGCTGATTTGTATTATTTAAAGAGAATGTGAATTATTTAACAGGAACATGGGAGGACAGATCCCACCAAACAACTGGAAAGGAGCTCTGAATGTCTCCTACAGGACTGGTCCAGGCTTTGCAGATGACTTCAAGAGCCAGTGAGTGCTTATATTGAGTTTTTCCTTTGTGCACTGTCGAAGTGATTAGTTGTGTTCACGTCACCCTAACATGACTCAAACTCTCCCATCGACCTACTTTTATTAATGAAACTTTTTCCTCCGCAGTTGATAGTCTCTCCTTTTCACTGCTGTCCTATATGTTTCAGGGTTTGAACTGTCTCTCTCCTTTTGTTGCTCTTCTTGCTCAACTTTAATGACCAGTGGCAAGTAGCCAACTGATGTACAATAGAGATCCTTGTGTTGTACCTCTTGTGTGTGAGAGACATACACATCCACACACATACAAGCTGCACAAATTAAGCATGTCATATGTTCCCATATGCAACAACAGTAACTGGGTCTTTTTTGCTTTTTCACAATAGTGAATGTTTTGGAGATTTCTGGAACAACAACTCCCATAACAACAAATAGAACACAATTCTTTTGCTATAAATCCTTGGTCTGTTTGTTTGTCTCTGTATCTCTTCTTGTGTATCACCCCTTCATTAATCTGTCTGTTTCAGGAAGGTGCGTATGAACATCCACACTGACAACCAGGTAACCAGGATCTACAACGTCATTGGCAGGATCAGAGGAGCTCTAGAGCCAGGTACTGCCCAACGGGCTGTAGTCCTTCATTAAAGCTTTGAGCAACATTTTACACACCAACACAGGTTAAAATAGGATGACATAATAACCAAATGCCTTTTGGTCATAAAAAGTATTTGTGCAAGAAACATTGATTTCAGAAAAACAAAACTTTAGCAGAATTCTGTTTCTGTAATCAATCTGTATCAGTCTCTTAAGTGTGTGTGTGTGTGTGTGTGTGTGTGTGTGTGTGTGTGTGTTGTGTGTGTGTGTGTAGACAGGTATGTGATTCTAGGAGGGCACCGGGATGCCTGGGTGTTTGGAGGAATTGATCCCATGTCTGGTGCTGCAGTGGTCCATGAAACTGTCAGGAGTGCTGGCAAGTTGCTCACTAAAGGTACGTCACTACAAGTGTGTGATTGAGTGAATAATGGTATCAGTAGTCAATACTCAGTGAGTGTGTGTTTATGTGTCCTCAGAAAGGGTGGTTCCCAGAATTCATGTTCTGGATTGGTGTCCTCACTATGTCACAGTGACAACAATGTGTGTTTGTGTGTGTGTAGGTTGGAGGCCTAGGAGGACAATAATATTTGCCAGCTGGGATGCAGAGGAGTTTGGACTGCTGGGATCTACAGAATGGGCTGAGGTATACATACACCAACCCATACACCCTAACACACTTACACACACACACACCACACACACACAAACACACAAACACTGACCACACTTCCCCTTATTAACAGGATAACGCCAAGCTGCTGCAGGAGAGAGCTGTGGCCTACATCAATGCTGACTCTGCCATTGAGGGTGAGTGTGTTTGAGTACAGCTTTATATATTATAGACAATGTTGAGGTTGAATTAGTTTTGATTCAACTCTTTTGGATTCCAGGCATGTACACACTGAGGGTTGACTGCACTCCATCTCTACACACTTTGGTGTATGACCTCACTAAGCAGGTGAGCAGAGGTACATCTGAAATAGACTTGAGTAATGTTGTCTTTCATGCTCAGTCTTATGTTTTATTCCTGCCCCTACTTGTCTCTTTCTCTTCCTTTTCTGTAGATAGCCAGTCCAGAAGAAGGAGAGGAGGGAGTTTCTCTGTACGAGAGTTGGCATAAGAGAGACAACTGGACAAATGACCGTGATGCACCAAGGTACAAAGCCTCTCAATCAGTTGTACATTTTGCTCACAGCCAGAGTGTATACATACTAACCACAAAACCAAAACAGTAAAATACACAAAGTTAAAGAGAAACAAAACTTCAGCAACCACAGTAGCAATGTGTCAATCAGATGTTAGTAGAGGACAAAACAACAAGAGGCTGAAATGAGAGAAAAGACAACCACGTCACAACTGAGAATGACTAATTGTTGAGAAATGATGCAGTTTGGACACACTATGTGAATACTATTTAAAACCTTTGACTCTATCTTTAATCTCCATCTTGTGTTTCTATGTGGCCGTGTGTTTGGCATGTGAAATTTGTCAGTTGGTCAGAATGTCAGTCTTCACTAATCAATTAAACAAAGCATCAAGCAATTACAGTAATTAATCGAAATCACTGAATCAGTCGTCCACTTTTGTGTACTGTAGGATCAGTAAACTCGGGTCAGGCAGTGATTTCGAGGCCTATTTTATCCGTCTGGGAATTGCTGCAGGCAGAGCAAGATACACCAAGAACAAGGTGAGAAATGCTGCACTGATTTATCTGCATACACATTATTCATTGTTATTAATATGAAGGTATATTCCTGTATTTGCTTAATTATATCTCCGTGTGTGTGTCTGTTTGTATTGTGAGTGTACAATGCAGTGCATATCCATGCTATTAGGTTAACTATGTTTTGACTTGAGTATATTAAACTACACAAAGAGTACAATAAGCAGAATTTTATGATCCCTGTGAATCTTAAAATACTATCTATCTATCTTGTTATGTGCAAGCCTGTACATATGTGGAGAATTACTCTGATTACTGTTCTTTTTTGTCTCGTGTGTATTTACACTTAACCAAGTTGCCTGTTTAAGCAGGGACACCATTATTTCAGTTGTACTAAGGTTAGAGCATAAGTAGAAGGTGTAGAAAGCAACCTTGTGGTAAAGGATACTGTGGACCTCCATGGACTCAATGTAACTCTGTGTCCTCTGTGTG